CAACAGAATGAACGGAGGAGGAAATCATCATCTAGCCTTTGGGGTTAACTATGCCCTTTATTTACTTATTTATTCTTAGTATTTTTGTGTTTAAATCACCGCTAGAATGGGGTTCGTGGTGGCAAAATTGAAGCAATGAAGAAGAAGATGAAGATGGAAAGTAAGGATAGGAGAAAGAATAAAATGAAGCTAAGGTGGGTGGAAGGAAAAAGGAGGAAGAAGAATATGAACAAAACAAAGGAAGAGGGAGCAAGAAATGGCCGATAAAAGCAAACATCTATCTCACTTGCCAAAAACAATAGTACTCCCTCTGTCCCTTATTTGCATGCCTACTTTCCTTTCTGGGGGTTTCAAAATTACATGCCTATTTCTATGTAAAGGGAATTGATTTTAGCACACTCTTAAATGATTTTGGCACACCTTTATGTTAGATGAGCATAGAAAACTACACTCTCACATAGTCACATAGAGGTGTGTCAAAATCAATTTTGGTGTGCCAATCATTTCTCCTATTTAAAGAATGTACTTTTTGACTATATTCCCTCTTTTTATGAGTTGTCAACAATTTTCTTTTATATTTTTTGTACTTTTGATATCATTTTTCAACACTTTTTCTTTCTATCTCTTCATTAATTACCAACTACATTTTCTTTCTCTATACCTCTCTCTAACCTCACATGCATGCACATTTGTACTTCTCAATCATGGGTTTTAAGGAATCTCATAGGCATGTATATAAGGGACAGAGGGAGTAATATATTTTTTTAAAAAATTAGTAGGCACAGATTTTAATGCAACTAATTATTTATTAAAATGCCTAGAACAAATAAAGAAATTATCTCTCTTCTTTCATACCTTTATATTATTATTATTATTATTTTCATTTTTGAATTGAATAAACTACACTCAATAAAATTTTACAATTACATTATAATATGATAAATGTACTTATAAACATATTTTAAATGTTTTTCACAAATTTTTTTTAAAGAAAAACTGAATAATTCCAACTTTAGTCATTCCCTTTGAAAAATCCAAACTTTGGAATATTTTTAAGTAATTTGAAATTTCAGAGTTGTTCGCTTGCTTTGGTCCCATATGATCGATAACCTATTGAAAATGTATATTATTCTTTAAAACTTTTTTTCCTTTCGACTACCAATACCACCTTTGAATGCCCCTCAAACCAACACAAACAAGGCATTTGGTGTTGGGGGAGGGGAAATGAAGGGTTTTTAGTGGTGGGAAAAGGGAAGAAGGTGGTTTTTAATTGGTGGTAGGTAACTAAGAGCAAGGGCCACCAGCCTTCTGGCCTAACTGGTGATATATGTAATATATAGTCTGCTCCTCTAGAATAACTAATAAATAGCTAATATTTGTCTTACGTTACATATCATGTTGTTAGTGATCGCCTAATTGATTTGTTGGAGTTTTGATTGGTTAGAGGAGGTCTCAAGTTCGATTCTTCATTTTGAGCGTTTGTTTATTTTTGTTTTATTTTTGGGGTTAAATTAATCGTTTCTTGGCCCCCATAGATTTTTATTCCTGGCTTCGCCCCTGACTGAGAAGAAGGGTTTTTGGTGATGGGAAAGGGGATGGGTGGTTTACGGTGGCTTGGGAAAAGAAAAAAAAGGGTTTTCAATGGGGGGAAGGGGAGGGAGTGATTATCGATGGTGGAGTAAGTTATCGAGATGAGGGGTTTTTCGATGTCGTGAAAGAAGTAGGACTGTAAGAGGGTAGTTTTGGTAGTGGGACAGGGAAGGAGGAAGGTTTTTGGTAGTTGGGTGGCAACTATATATGGTGGCTATGGGGATGGGGGTGACCAGTAATGGTAGACGTGGAGAAGGGTGGAGGCTGGGAAAGGGTAGTGGTGGCGGCGGTTTATTTTTTTTTTTTTTTTACCCAATAAGGTATTGATACGTGTCCTGATAATCTATTATAATAAATTGGTGACTGGTTGAGACTAAAGAAAGTGAATGAACCTTAAATTGTGGATTATTTAAGAATAAAATAAAGTTTGAATTATTCAAAACAAATCAATCTAAAGTTTGAGAATATTACGTTCAAGATTGGAAATAGAAGTAGTGAATTTGATATTTTATACTCCCCCTGTCCCTATTTTTTGTTGCATTGCAAAAATTGGGTCAAACTTCAAAGACTTTGACCTTAAATTCCCATTGACAAAAAAATAAAATATATTCACGTGGGGTATTGTTAGATTTGTCTTATTGTATATTTATTAATAATTTTTATAATTTTTACACGCATGAAATTATACTTCCTCCGTTTTTTAATACTTGCAACACTTCTTTAAAATGAAAATGTCACAATACTTGCAACACATTATAAATGGAAAGTTATTTTAGAGAAAAAAATACACTATTTTCCTCATTTAAAGTCATGGTCCACTTTCTAATAATCACTCATCCTATTTTAAAGTGTATTATATTATATAAACCCTACATTTTCTTAAATACCGTGAAAAAGCATGTGTTGCAACTATTAAAAAAACGGAGGAAGTATATATTATAATAAGACGTAAAAACCGTGTAAAATTCAATAGAGGAAAAAAAATGGAATTAAAAGGGAAAAAAAAAAATTCGAATTCGTTGAATCCGAAACTTACCTGACTGATGGAGTTGACACTTGACAAGACTATCTAGTAATAGGAATGTTTCTCTAGCTAGCTAGCAAGCTTTATCTTGTATTTGTCCAATTACTGGCGTAGATTTTCATGCTATCAACATTTTTTTCCCAACAATTATTCGTGTCTTTTATTTGAGTATAATGAAGATCAACGTAAACTATATTCTATAATCTATATCCTATATGTGTTACTTTGAGCTTAAAAGAGAGAGAATTAAAATAAAAAAAATAGCTGTGTAAATTACTACTACACACATTTTTTGATCGAATCTCATGTTAGTAAGTTGTAATATACGTGTTATTAAAAAAAAAAAAAAGAAGTTGTAATATACGTAGCACCATTTATTAGGTAGGTAATCCAAGATACCTTCAACCTCTTTTTCTTATGTAGATTTTGATTGATAAATTAAAGGCCATATACTAGAGTAGCAAAGGGTTCTATATCTATTAGAAGTATATTGGTTTTTATTTGATGTGATAGATGTGTTGCTCTATCTCTTAATTATTAAAGTTAATTTAGTAATAAATAAAGCTCGTTATAAAGATTTTACCCAACAAAGATAAATAATCATGTAATTGGTGTGATAAAACACATTGTAGGTTGAATATTATCAATTACATGCAGTTGTTTAAGCATATATCATGTTTGATGGTGATCTTAAGAGCCATGAAGAAAGGCTTAATTGTGATCAAATGGTATGGTGGAGAGGGTGACATTGATTGTTTTTGAGGTGTTTAGTACGTCCCACACTTAAAACACAATCAATCTCTTGCTTGACATCGTTTTTTGTTTTAAGTTTTCTATTTTTGTTAAAACAAAAAAAATCAAAAATATGAAATAGGAAAAAGACGTTTTTACTTTTCTGTTGTCAGTTTTTAAAATTATCATGAATTCAATAAATTTGACTAATTTTTTATTCATTATATGACATATATCATATGATTTTGAAAAACAAATAATAATAAAAAAAAAATCACAATGATGCCAAACGAACCCTTAGATTAATTGATCCTAGCTAGGTCTCATGTAGTCATGTATGCATTTTTGCTATTAGTGAAGAAAATTATTGATTTGGATTTAAGACTAATTTAAGCTCGACATAGGATCTTGACTATCCATTCCTCTAATTAAGGTATGATGAGTTTCCCTATACACCATTATTCCATTTCGATCGGTTTAGTATACCAAATGATCCTTTATTAGATCATGGTTTGCACTTGTATTATTCCTCAGCTTAAACACAATTAATCACAATTAGCGGGTGAATATCATAGCATAAGATAAATAGATAGCAAGATTTAGGTAAATAACGAACTAAGTATTGATTAATTATATTACTTAGATAAATTTCATTCAATCACATTTATAATGCATTTCACTATTATCATAATAGATAAATTTCATCTATATACTTCTATCCTAAATTCATATATACAGTAATTAAGCAAAGCATAAAATAGTTATCTACTGCTTAAATATGCTTTTTTATTGAAATAAACATTGGTAGTTTATGACATATCGATGTCAACTTAAGAGGAAAGTTAAAGCAAGAGACAAAAAGGAAGTATGACATAAACCGGAGCAGGAAAACATCTGTTACAACTTACAAGTACTACTTTGCAAATATTCTTTTAAATTATTCTCTTTATAACTCCATTTTCTTGACTAGGAATATGTATTTATATGCTTCTTTATTATTCACACACATAATTGTACATATTACCAATTAGTTGGAATTCTATACAAGAACACTAATAAGGTAGCTTAGATGCATGCATCTGTACACATTTTGTTACCACGCCAATCATTCATAGAACAGATAAGATTTACTATAATTATTTGTTTGCATCTTATACGCCAAGCATCTAATCTTATTTTTTCTAGATTACCTATGTTTCTTTCTCACAGTGTGTGTACGTCCACGTTAACTTTTTTTCTGTAGTATGTATAAGTATCTATTCTGAACCCTACTTCTTTAGTTTCTTATAAAAGAGTATTTTTTTTTTTTTCAAATAGTTGTAAACATACTTCGTACAAAGTAAATTATGATTTTAAAAAGCGAGTTATAACAAAATAGTAAAGCCAAACATGAATCTTATTAAGTAAAGGCATTTATAAGAGGACTATGCGTCTATGCACTTATATCTAAGACACGACACTTAATTAAAATCATAGTTCATAAATAAGGTGAAGCAATTAATTAGTTAAAAAAAAAAGGTGAAGCAATCTAGATATTATATTAAGTGGTAGATAATATACACACTAGAAGTTATTAATAAAGCTATTAATTAGTTTTTTGGTGTTTAGAGAGCCACAAGGGCGGGGGGTGAGAATCGATCCCAGGATCTCCTAGAATCGGGAGGGAAGCTCTAACCACTTGAGCTATTATTAATTAGTTTAATTGCATAAGTTTAGTTGTAACCAAAACTACATGCATAAATTAAACCTTTTTCTTTTTTTTGGAAGAGAGGATCGTACGCGTTATCCTTTATTTAGCTTGAAAATCAAAAGAAATCATTAAACTGAAAAATAAAAGATGAAATAAAGGTGTTAAAAGGGAAAAAGAAAAGGCAACACTAATTTTAAGGTATGCGACCATATTCCAAATATTTTCAGCCGAAAGAAACCTTCTAATTATTGTTAAAACGTGTATTTCAACGACATTCTACTATTGAAAACCCAGCAGTTAATTGGTCACTAACTATAATCAACAAATCATTCCAAATATAGAAGGAAAATAAGTGATTAGAGAGATTGATGAACAGTAAATAATATTACAATAACAGTGAACATAACTTCTTTAAGTTACTCGTATATTTACAAGTAGCTAATAAAAGTACAATTTTACATAATTTTAGGTAGAAAATTCTTACCATTTTCAGTGATAAAAGGAAAAATAACCTTACAAAAAGTTCCAAAAATAAAACAAAAAAAGAAAATAACAATATGCATGCATGAAGATCATATTATCACAACTCTTGGTGGCTTTTGAAGACAATACATTTATCAACTGTTGCAAGGAGCCCAATCTCATCCATGGAGTACGGATTCTCAACGGCGATAATTTCATTATCATCATCGTCGTTTATTGATATATTCAAATCTAAGGAGAGACTTGGACTAGATGTTGTGTCATCCAAACAAGCACTATCTTCGATGTTCTTCATTTCATGGTCATCTTCTTGAGGCATAAGATCTACTTTGTGCTTCATTGAAGGGGAACATGCCCTAGATCTCGAGCTAAATCTTTCACAACTAAAGATAATAATCGCGTCACCAAAGCTAACCTCCTCCCCACTTGAATGCTTAGAGATTTTACCTCTTTCAATGGCCTTCTTGATTCCTATTTGAGAGCAATAATCCACTTGCTCTATATCCTCGACGAAGAAAACCCTATGTGGATCGTTTGATACCGCCTCAGCAAACCTTTCGGTGTAGCTACAACTTTGCTCATCTCTAAGCCTCTTGTTTCTAGAATCTTCCAAAGAGTCTACTACTCTTGTAGAGGAGAAGCTACTAAGGCCAATGGAAATGAACTTGTCTTGTGATGAACCGAAAATGAGCCTTGCCAATTCCCTAGCAATCTTCTCCTTAGCTTCAATATCAATGCCTTGGAAGAACAACCATGTCTCTTCCTTGTTGTTTTGCTCATTTGATTTTCTTCGCGACTTTCCTGACCTACAATGTAATATAGTGCTTACTATATCCATGATTATGTCTTTATGTCGCGGTATTTCTTGCTCAAGTGCATTGCAAAGTATCTTGAGATTCTCTGTAGTGTACTCCTTGAATCTTACACATTGTGACTCAATTAATGGATCCATGATATCACTTGAGGAAGTTGAGGTTGGAGTCGAATTAGGGTTTGATGAAATGAACGCGGTGGGGGTGGTATGTCTTCTTTGGAGGTGATCATTGGGTGACATTGACATTGTGAATGATGTTGGTGGTTCAAGGGATCTATTCGAGGTTTCGGTCACCCAAAAGTTCTTGGGCTCAAAACTTTGGTGGGTGGGTTGTAATCCTAAGTGTTGAGGATCATATGAGAAGTTCGAGGTTGAAGAAGAAGGTGAAATTGAAGAAAAACTTAAGGTTCTTTCAAATGATGGTGATGATGAAGTGCATATTGAGCCCCATCTTTTGCAAAGATCTTTGACTGGCACACAATCCTAATAGTAAAAGTAAATAACAAGATTTAAAAAAAATAATAAAAAGTTGAAAAAGAATGAGCCACTTTTACTAAATTAATTTACTTGGGTTAGTTTAGTTGATCATAATTAACAAGTTCACTTTCAATTGGAAGAAAGTTAAGTTTTAAATTAGGATAAAATAATAACCTGATCATTGTTGGCAATGTTGCTTGCTTTCTTGCTATTTTCATCCTTGTATTGTTGGAGCCATGAAGGAAGACTTGAGTTGGTGGAGTCACTATTACAAGCACTACTTTGCCGGCTTTGTGACGACTCCATATTCACGGTGCCGCTTGCCCGGTAACTGTCTTCTCCACCACCGCTAACACCACCACTTTCTAGCATCAACCAACTACTTCCATTCATATCCAACTTCTTGCTTGTCAATGGACTTTGTAAATCACTAGACAAAAATAATCATGAACATAATCAACACCTTGAAAACAACTCTATAAACTTAATAATTACTAAAATTGATCTTCACCCAAAAAAGTATATAAACTTTTTCTCATGCAATTGATAAGCTATACATATATGCAAAGTACCAATAACTAGCTAGTTTTTCTTGTACTTTTTTTTTTTTTTTTTTTGAATTTTCTAGCTAGATAAAAAATTAATTATATGATCACTAGATAGTGACTTATCTAGGTTTTGAGAAACCATTCTATAAAATTTCATAAGAAACATTCATTATTATTTAAAGAAACAAAAAATTTAATCATATGATCAAGGATGAGAAAAAAATTACTAATTATAGTAAGTTACCTCTCAGGCAAGAGACTTAAACCCAAGCTACCGGCAGGGATAGTGATGGCATGAAGACCCCAAAGCGACTCGAGCGAGGATTGACCGCCTTTACATCTCATGTAAGTTTGAAACGTTGCAATACCAAGAAGCCATAACTTTCCACTCTCACTAGCATAAGAGAGAGCCAATTTACCAATCTCAATAATCATGTGTTCAATAGGGCAATAATAACTTCTCCTAGGTTGATGTTGATCAACAAGGATATTATTATTACTTGCCCTAAACTCATTAACCCATTTAAGATCATCTAAATACAAGATCACCCCTTTATTATTATCCATACAACATGTCTTAACAAGGCACTTAAGCTCCCCTACTCGTTGCTCGACTTCATCCTTTGAAAGATGACCGAATGATGCAAACGACATATGGATGAATTTAACCTCTTTCAAGGCCTCAGGCACCTCTCCCTTTTCGACTCGATCCATAACTCCTCTTACTAGACCTTCTAAGATTGAAAGACATTCTCCTACAACAACTACACTATTTCTTTTTCTTTTGTTTACTAAACTATCAATCACACTTATAACATCTTCACTATTTTTCTCAACTCCTTGATTATCACATAACCTTGGTTTACCTACTTTTAATGATCCTGTTTGAGCCATAGATAGAAAACTATTACTATTATTAGTATTAGTAATATTATTGTTACAACTACTAAGATTATTGTTGTTACTATTATTACTATCCTTTGGCTTGATGATGTTGTTATTATTGTTGTTTGTATTTGTATTATTACTTGGAGTTTCAACGGAAACAGCTTGTTCTACCTTCCCTTTAACTAAGGTGCTCGAAAACCCGGCTTCGCGCATAACCCTACTAACACTAGGATCATCTAGTATAGAGATGATGAGCTGCTCTAGCTCAATCTTCACGGCCAAGAGAGGTTGTTGTTGGTTTTCGATCGAGCCTCGTCTTTGGTGGGCTTGGGCCCGTTTGAAGGCAGCCACGAGCGCGTTGGCTATAGAAGGGTGGTGGTGTTGGGCCGAGTGCGGGCCAAGCATCGGGCCGGAGGTGGATGTGGGGAGACGGTTTAAGGCCACGTTGAAGCAAAGCTCCAAGGCCCGGCATTGGAGGGGGTGGGAATGAGATTGTAGGCAGGCAGCCCGAAGTAGGCCCGATGATACCGACAACATCGTGTGGGCGACGTGGAGAGGGGTTACTTGTGCGTGGCCACGCCTTTTTGCTAGGGCGACGGCTTGCTTAACCACCGCCGCCGCTTCCGTTGTAAGGGCTTGTTGGATTGTACAACCTTGTGACCTCATAGTAACAATTACTGTTCTAAAAGATCACAAATAATATGTGTAAATAGATGTATGAATTAGAGAAAAGTTTATAGGAGAGAAATTAAAGAAAAAAAAAAACCTTAACTTTTAGGTAGATATATATGAAATATCATGAAGTTAGAATACTATAGAAGAATGAAGTAGCTAGGAATTGATCAAATAAAAGAAGTGTATATAAGAAAGTAAGATGAGTAGTAGGAGTTAATATGAAAGTGAAATAAAGATATATAATATGGTTTATAATGTATGAAATGATATGATAAAAATGATATATAATGGAGATGGATGGGTAAGGCTTAAAAATGCTTTTCTTGTGAGTGAGGTAAAAATGTGTTTGGGGGTCCAAAGAGGATTTAGTAGTGGAAAAGTGGATTGCATGTGCTGACAAGGAGTACGAAAATATTGCACCAAAATCAAAGGGAACTTAACTTTGCTCTTTTTTTTTTCTCACTTAATTAAGCTTCAATTCTTCTATCTTTTTTTTGGCTAGAAATTTAGATAAAGACATGATATATTTAGAAGTGGGTCTCTTTCTTCAATGCAAAATTTATGTATTTATGAGTGTATTATGGGAGCTTTTGAATGAATATTATTGGGTTATTTTCATGGGTGATTTATCCTAGAAACCTACACCCACTTCAAAGCTCAAGAGCACGACAAAATCTTATGCTTGATCTCTCTTTAATCTTGTTGATTATATTACAAAAAGTATGTAGCATTACATTATATTGCAATCAATAAGCTCTTATAATATCAATGCTAATTAATTGAGCAACATTCTATGGTGTTTCAATCTTAAAGACTTTTTCTTTATACTCTGTATATAAGTATACATAATTACATACATATAGAAACAGTATGAAGTATGTAACTATTTTTTGTTGAAAAACTATTTATATTTATAATATAACAATGGAAAATGTTTAGGTAAATTACATACATTTATTGACATAAAGTATGACTTAACTACAACCATTAATTTAATGTCAATTTATCTACAATTATGAAAATAAATTGACACAAAATTGGTCACTTAATTAATTCAATCAAGTGATGCGAACTTGGTAACTTGAGCAAACATGTAATGTCACAAAATGAGTATTTAGTGACCAAGTTAACATCATTGATTTTTTTTTTTTTTCCATTTATCATCATAAATTAATTATGGAAAATGTTATACATAGCCCTCAGGGCTACATATAAGCATTAAATTTACACTTGAAAATCATAAAAAGTTAAGAAATTGTTAAAATATAAACACTAATTACACTGGTTTGCATGTGTTTTTGTCATGAATTCTTAATTTTATACAATTCCAAGAGTATATTTAATGCTTATATATAACCCTTAGGGCTACATATAATATTTGAAGACAGTCTCATATCAATGGTTATGAATCTTTTGATTGAATCATAATTTATATGTTGATGATGAATGTTGTTAATTTTAAATTTTTTTTTAACACTTGCATCATTTTAATGAACTAAACTGCTAGTAATTTATGTCTATTGAAACTTTTTTGTATTGCTTGTTTGGCTTTGTTTTAAAACTTATTATTTCATATACAAGTATTACTTCTTTTTTTGAAAACATATACAATGCAAGTATTACTTCTATTTAAGATGATTGTAGCAAATTTCATTTAACATAATGGTTACACATTTTCATCCACTAACTCTTACTTCAATTAATAAATTTTTACACTTTCGAACTAACTTATACCACCTTGATCAAAGAATCAAATAACCAAATAAACATATTTCAAAGAATAAAAATCAAAATCACTTAATCAAGACTCGTCAAAATTTTAAGAAGCTACTTTTTTTTTTTTTTTTTTTTTTTTTTGTTGCCCTTTTTCGAGTTGTAACGACTTTACTCGAAAAATAAGAGACATGAAGAAAAGAAATGAAGCAAGCTAAGGAGGGAAGATTTAAACCCTTTTGGTCCATCAGCCAACTCCCAAGGACCTGAAAAGAGAAGGTAAGGGGAACTATCAGTCTAAAGAATTTGGGAAATGTGCACCATTCTTTCCTTTTTTTTTTTAAGCCTTCAAATTAAACTCAAAATAAATAAAGACGAAGAATAAAGTGTATGATTTTTAGTTTTAATCGATTCCATCTACTTGACGCTACTTTGAATGCATGGGGATTATGAATCTCTACCCCAAATACATTCCCTCTATCTTTTTCTTCCCCTATATTATTACATAAAGTTGGTTATAAATTAAAGTTATTTAATCATGATTTTGGCCAGGAAAAAAGGGAGTAACAAAAAAATAAAAATAAAAAAAATTGGAAAAGAATTATAGTATAGCCTATCATAACGAACTCATCAAATTTAAAACAGTGTGTCACTGTACTGTATCCACTTCAAATTGCACCATTTTTATTATTATCATGACCTTGTATATATGTACACTTCAAATTGCACCGATTTTTTGTTAAAATGATGACCTTATATATGTGTACACTTCAAGTATATGATATTGCTTTCATCATGTTCCTAGAAAGTTAAAGGGGGGTGTTCTAATGATTTTAGTTTCATTTTTGTTTTGAGTTTCATGACGAGGGAGTAGTTTGATTATGGATGCTACTTACATCTCCCATGCACTTGTTCCAAGTTTTATCTTTGAACATAATAAGGGATTAGGGCAAGTGCTGTAATAGATGTGATGAATATATATTTACGTGTTCAATCATATTGTATGTGTTAGTTATGTCCACAGGCTACTAAGAAGAAGTTTTCACTGACCTTGAGGCCAAAGTTACAACATACAAAATCATAATACTTCTATTTATTTTTTTAAAAAGATACCACTCCTGAAACATTAATTAACAAAGTAGGCCTAAATAATTTTAAAAAATCGTAATGAGTTGTTCATAGGCCGGGGTGCAAATAGATTTAAGACACTCTATCTTCAACGGGGAATTGAAAGTGAAATGTAGCTGGCCGTTGAAAGAGAGCATGTTATATTATAAGGTTAAAACTAAATATTATGTGCTCTCTAGTTATACATTTCATGGGACTCTAGTCTTTGATTTAATTTGTACAAACACAATTATCTCTTCCATGCAAGAAGTAATTGTTATTATAGTACTAAATATATATTAACCATTGAAAACATTTTATCAAGGTAATCCAGAGATTCATATAATAAGAAAACATTTTTCTTTATTGGAAAAATAGATATACAAATTTTCCTGTATACATAATACATGCATAGAAAGGCATTTGATTGTGCAAGTTAATAAAAAGTGCAATTTGGTATTTATATTTTATGCATTTCATTAAAGTACACTTATTAAAATTTGGATGTAAATATGTACAATACTTTCAATGTCACCCCATTGGATCAAAGGCACAACCTCAGAAACCAAGGACTAATTATTCTTGATTGGATTCACGTACTTCTATCGAATACCACTACGTATTAACTTTCCTTGATCTCCTTAATTAAAGCTAATTTGGCCTACAATGAAACACAAATATGAAAATGATGTCTTGCCTACGGGGTTAATATAGTAATTTAGATTAAATAGGTAAAATAAAAACTTGTACACCAAAAGGCCTAATTATAGAAACAATTTTTTATATAGAAATCCAAACACTAATGCGTATGTACTAGGAATTAGATTTACAACTTTGTAGATGATGGTTCTTTACAAGGTTGGTTGTACTTTTTAAATCCGAATGTTATATATGTCATCGCTTTTAAGTTTAAATTAAAAGAATTGAAAATCAGAATGAAAAAATATGAATTGAACCATATTGGAGTGAATGGACTGATTTATATTGGTGTATTGTTATAAATAAGCTAGACAGTACTCCCTCCGTCCCTAAATTACATTCCTCTTTCTAACATTTATTCCTCACATAATTGAGAGAAAGAGGAATGTAATTTAGGGACGGAGGGAGTACAAAATAATATAGTGGTATTAGGCCATTTCATAATTTATAATTAGCTTTTGAGGAAACAAAAATCACTGTACTTAACCTATAGAAGTGGGCACAAGAATGAGATGCTAATTAATTTAACTCATTTATTAATTATACTCACAGTTAAAGTACATCTTTTAACCATGTATATTCCGTACTGTGAAACATAGTATGGATTAGACCTAACTATTTCAACCAAACATAATAAAATAAGAAATACATGAAATAATAATTAATAATAATAATAATAATAAAGTAGGTACGTAATTAAGCATTAATTAGCAAATAGAAATGAAAGATTCTACCATATCAGTGGAAATAATGTTGTCTGTCACAAGAATCTTATTTGCAAAACTTTTGATTTAAAATATTAAAATTATTCAGGACATTAATGTATAATGCTAGACCATGAGAGCCTAATCCTACACCTGATTAAAAATGTAGCAAAACTTGTAGTCATTAGTATCTAAGCCAGATTGTTAAGAATCTCACAACAAAAGCCTACTGTTTTAATAACTCCTAGCTAGCTTAGTGAACAATACTCATGTAGGTCTTTCTTTAGCTTGCGTGACATTTTCAAAAATATACTCGTACTTACTTGCTCCATTGTTTGATTTAACCCGACTTTACTTTTACACTATTCACATCACTCTGCATCAATAAAAATGCATCTTTCTTTAACTATTTTCATGATTTATATGTATGTATAGGCAAATATAGTCATGTGAATGAAATTATAATAGTTACATCATAATTAAACTCAAAATAAATACAATCACAAATTTTGTGACGGAGTAATAAAAAAATATTGATGGTTAAAAATCATAAATTATATATTGCCAAGCTAATTAAGCATGATGTATGGAGTAAGTCAGCTAAAAACTAATAGAGAAAGTATTTATATACGACAACGTAAATTTGAATTTAAAAGAGAATAGAAGTAGGAATATTGTACATTCTTTAGGTGAATTTCAAAACTATTTAAGAGTTGGCTTATATAATAATGATTTTTTATCGAGTGCGTTACTATTGGCTTGGTGGTGTTAGTTGTGGACCATAATGGGTTGCTGGTCATATTCTTGAGCTAGCATGCCTTTGCATGGAAAGGAGAGCTGCGCCACTATCATACCATATCGATCAAGGTACGTTTGAATTAAAATTACAAAAGTAATTCAATGCAATGAAAACCCCCAAAAATAAAAAATAAAATCAAGAAAAACTTCTTCTTTCACTAATCACTACGTATTATTCCTTTTTCCCAACAAACGAGAGATCTCCCTTTCATTCCTCAATCATTTTCGACTTTTACTCTCTTCTTTATTTTATATCCTCGTCCGATTCCCATGAAAATAATTCTAACGTTTAATGGCAATTTCTTTCATGCCTGCATGTCTCCAAGAAAGAAAAAAGCATCTAGCTAGCTAGTTAGGGATTGACCTAAGTTGTGGAATAGGGATCCCTTATAGTAGAACAGTCGAATAACTATATTGAGTATTCCGTAATAAACTTATAAGAACCACCAAACTCGGTCATATATGGTTGGATCATCAATCAACAGGTAAAGAAGTATTGTACGTAGTTTCAATTTAATCAAAGGTCTCAGTTTAATTTGATCCCGGAAATGCAAAATTATTAATCAAGGAGAGTTCATGGCATTCTAACTGGATTCCGAATTAGCTAGCTAGGCTATAGAAATAGCTCATAGGAAATATTAGATGCAATAAATCTCAGTAATTAAAAGTCTTTATCTTGTTTGTACAACTTAATAATCCAGATAGGTTATTTAATCAAATCAGCATGTATGAATTAAAACCTCATCTTTGGGAAGTATAATAAATCCATATTGATTTGAATCATACGGTAATGATTTTGCTATATACATATATACGTGCAAGGATCAGAGAAGTTTGAGCAATCAAAAATCATTTTTCTTAATGGCGGATCTATGTGGGAGCCTGGGTAGCACGAGCCCCACCAAAATTACTTTATGTTTCTTTATTGGTTTAAAATTATATTATATTGATAATATAAATAGCTATGCCTGTATAATTATTCACTAAGTGCTCCTCCAAATTTAGTATTCTAGATCCGCCATCATAATCGGTTGTATCTTGAACATGGTACGTGCAACTATGCTTATTTTTGCTCATTTGAGAGCTTCAAGAATAAGCTAGCTAGTCGGCAAAAATAGTCTTGGTGAATCAAAGTACTGATGTTTTTCAGCTGCTAGCTTGAAACAACTTTTTCAAGGTTAAGATCTAGCAATGATTTGCTTTTTTATTATTTTTTTGGGGTCCTAATGATTTGTGTTTGTTATACAAGTCTACATCAATATTATTGTGGAATACATGTATACCTAGCAACTAATAATAAATGTACGTAAATTAAGTTATCCTTTTAAAATGCACATAAAATTACATGCAATAAGAAATATCTTACGTGTTTCTCATCTTCTCAATCACCATTCTTGGTCCTCAGTCAAAAAGCTTGTATCTTTCTTGGCCTAAAAAGACATACAAAGTTAAGGGCACCAAATAATTTGAATAAAAAAACATATTGTAAAAAAGCTAGAAAAAGGGCATATATTATAGTTTGAATGAATACAAGCTAAGGAAAATATAACAGTTGCTTTAAAAATAACCTCTTCCCTCTACTTTAACCCTCCCTTTTCACCCTTAATGGTTAACTTATTAAATGAGGATTGTCTTCATGACAAAAGAAACAAAAGTTACCCATAACACTTGGTTATGGCTTTTAAACTTTGTATAATTTATATAGTTATGGAAAAAAAAACATGCACCAAGGTTTGTGTCAAATCAATTTACTTGTAAAGTAGTTAATGCTTAAGTAGGGTTATGTGTTCACATATTGTCTCGTATTTCTCGATTTATTAGTATTGCTTATTCAAGTGTGATCTTTTATTACATTAGCAATGAAGCAAATTGAAACGAATATATATATATATATATATATATATATATATATATATATATATATATATATATATATATATATGAAGAAAATTATAAAGTAAGATAAAGTAGTACGTATATAATTAAGAAGCCTTCTCAATTATTAGTACGTATTTAAGTATTAGATATATAGCATTATGTCGATATTCATGATTCTTAATTAATTAGCTTACTTGTTTCACAATCAAGCCTTGCTTAACAACCTATCTTTATTCTCACAACAATAATGAACATTCTTCAAGTAAAACACTCGAACATACACCAACATATATTTTAAAATAGTTGATTCGCGTCGTCTAATACTTAAATTTTCATCATCAGGTGTCCAGGTCGAATCAAGTAGTAAAAGAACCTTAAATTAAACCTGGATTCGATCAAGTAATAATACATTAATAAATAACTTCATGTTAATTAGAGAACTAGCACAACTGCATAAGCATATCATTCAAGGCCTCAAAATAAAACTCCTTTTTGGTTAAAGCAAATTAAGCACTCTTGAAGAAAAGCAATATAAAAAAGCAAAAAATGGCATTATCTACTCAAAAGAGAGGCTAATTTATATGCTTTTAAGCTGCAAATAAGCATCTTGAGGACGATACGTGGCCATGTGGGCGCAAGCAATGAAAATGTTATAGAATTAGTAGTAAGTAATTAAGATAATTAAGCTAATTAAGTGATGAAATAGTTGATTAAACAGTGTACTGTATTTATTTTTTGTGTGGGTTGGCTGGGACAGTCTTTAAAGTTATAAAGGTTTTTGCTTGAGGGCAAAAAGTTGCTCTAATTTTGACAGGACAGCTTTGTTAATTTAAAAGGTGATGGAATTACGTACCACACACTCCTTTTCCTAAAAGTTTCCATTATTTTATTTGTCTTGTGTTCATTCCCTAATAAACTTTTTATAAAAATTCCTTTGTTCATAAAGAACAATTGTTTAAACTTTTAGATTATATATTTTGTTCTATTTATCTTATTTTCTCTACACTTACAAGAAGTATAAACTTATTTCAAATTTTCAATATATGAAACTTAGTTACTCCCTTGGTCCCTCTATCACATACAATCTACACAGTAATGACTTGAACACTTTCGATGATCTATTTTTATCAGTTACAGAATTAAATCAAATTAAACACTTGGTTTTCCTTGTATTTATGATTTCACTAGTTATCTTTATGTACTTCGTATTTCTTATCTTTCTTTCCGCCCCACTATCTCCTTTTCACACTTGATTTTTTTTTATTAAAAATAACCATATAATGATATAATACCTACGAAACCCCTATTCAGTTCACCTTATATTATTAGTATCACTTATTTTAAGTCTAATAAGTTCATATAACTTAAGAGTAGTTAAGTTCATATAACTATATAAGTAGTTAAGTTCATATAACTATATAAGTAGTGATAAGGATTGCCTAATTAAGTATAATTTATAACTAAAATAAGGTTGAATAAGTTTAGTAAGTTCATACTTCATGATCATGTAATTTTGAATTAGATAAGATAATTAAGTGAAAAACAAGAAAATAGAACACAACCTAGCTAACTCCCACCATATCTACTTCTCAAGTGAGTAATAGATAACTCAACAATAATTACTATGTACTCCCTATATTATTTTTGTGTTTGTCTTATTTGCTTTTTAGACAATTTACATATTTGGATAAATAAAATTCGAAACGAATCTAATAAAATTTCATCACATGATTATATTTTGATTTATAGAAGTGAAGTTAAAGTATAATATTCCATTTGCATTATATTAGAATCTCTTAAGATACTAAGGGTCTATTCTCATACGTTTATTTTCAGTTCAGTTCAGCTCCTAATTTCCTTCTCTTATAAAATATTCATTTCAGTTCAGTTCAGTTCAGCTCAGCTCAGTTCAGTTCAGTTTAGTTCAACTGATTTCAGTCAATTAGAACGGGTCCTTAGTCTCAGCGGTTGGAGGAAGCTAGTTCTTTTGAGAGCATCCTTTTTTTATGATGTAATATGTAGTATTAGTTGTTGAAGCACACGCATTTCTTGCCATTAACGAATTACACACATAAGGTCTGAATAGTAAGGGATATAAGCTAAGTAGGACTGCTTTGATTTAGGTGAAAGCTCAAATGGCAACATGGAAAATAACCATTTAAATTGAACCCTTAATCTATGTTTAGTTAGCAAATCTTATTTTTACTTATCTGATCTCATCTAAATACATAGTAATTTAATAACTTTATTCGAAGATCATTTGCATGAGATAAGAGTCACTCAGAATAGAAACATCGTCCCTCCGGGGGATCCTAGTATGTGAATGTGCTTCATTTTATCATTTTTATCTTTTTGAAGCGGGCGCCGCTCATTTTTGTAAAATCCAAAAATGAAAAAAATAAAATTAGTACGCAGATTGCAAGGGATGTGACAACAGTTTTTGCACATGCTATAGAAAGTAATAAGAAACACCCTCTAACAAAAGCATGCTTCCTCAAAATGTAACCTGCCTCTGATACTATGATAAACGGGTATGGTGAAAGGTCAAGTGTTTCCTTTATAATCTTAGAACTTTTTCTTTTGTTAACCCTGAATTTTGGTGGGCTAAGGGTATTTGGGGCATTGTGAATTGGATGCAAGTGAACTTGTAGTTGACTTTTGAGCTTTTGCTTGATTTTAGATGAGATCATGTTGGAGGTTATGTTGCATATAAAAGATCTTTTAATTTGTAAATCACATCATTACTTTTCTACAATTGCAAATGTGTATGGTTTATATAATGTATTGATATAACACAAAATCTTATATGTGACTGATCACACGGTGTGGCCAGCCATGTGTTGGTTTATTAGTTGGAGTTTGCTTTTATATGTAACTTCACAATAATGGATAAACACTATCTTTTATTTTCAGACATGTATAGGTTGTATGCGCTAAACCTGCACAGGTCTTATAGCTTGATTGAAACATATTAATGTTCTTTGTTCTACAACAAAGGTTGCAAGTTCATGATATTGGAAGAAAATCGGATATCATTTCGTTCAAACTCTTATGTTTGATGGAGTTGACAACTACTCACATCAAATTGCAGACATGATTGGTCACAGAAGTGTTTTTGACTTCAACAAAACAGGAGTAAGTTCCATTTTTTGCCTTCTGAGCTAGCTAAGAAAGAGGGTACATTATTCCTATCCTGCACTAAAAAGACTAAAAAAGACTTTATTTGATTATAGGAATGATACTAATACCATGACATCAATTTCTTACATTTTAATCCTTTTATTTTTTTTCCATCTAATTCCCTTCTTTTCTCATTTGTTATCCGAATGAAAGCCAATATATTTTCCTCTATTTCCCTTTCCTTCCATTCTCTCCATTTCCTCTAATACACAAAAAAAAAAGGACAAAAATTTTGCATTTTGTCACTCATAAGTCATAAATCATAATCACTCTAGTTAAGACAGAATAAAAATCCCTTAAAATGGTGACTTGTTCGTCATTTTTTTTTTTCAGGGAATGGAGACTTATTCATCTCTCACCTCCTAAAATGCTTTCGAATTTCCGTCGTAGACATATCATTTTAAAATGCTTTAAATATCACAAAAAAAAAAAAAAAAAAAAAGAAGAAGAAAGGACAGCAGAGCAGCAACAATGCAATGCAGCACCAAAACCCTCAGCAGCAACCTCTTAATCAACCACCAGTTCCAAACCATTAATGCCTTCACAACTATTGTTATTTTCCAGTTCTATAAGCTAAATCCCCTCAACCTTCCAATATACTTCGTATCAACTGTTATGAAATTATGGCCTCAGTGAAAAGCCAAAACTCTTACAATCCATACATGACCATTATGTATTGGCGATACAGACAAAATAATGACTGAATCTATCTTGTATCAACCGAGACCAATTACAAGACATCACAGCAAAAAAACACACCTGCAATTGCCGACTAAGGTCCAAAACAGTGTTAACAACTATAATTAATATGAAAACCCGTCTCACAAGTCACAACCTCCATAGAGGAGCATTCCACTTCGAAATGCAAAAAAAAAAAAAAAAAAAAAAAAAAAAAAAAAAAAAAAAAAAAAAAAAAAAAAAAAAAAAAAAAAAAAAAAAAATAAATCTACAAGAGAATGAAGTTTTACCAAACTATAGTTTAAAATCAAAAGTACTTGCTCCTATACTGACAGTATGCATTATCCACAATAAATCAAGGCATAAACTACCAAATACATTCACTATATAGTAAACTGCCCTGCAAGCAACAGCAGCCTGAGGACAATAAGCTACACTGGCAACGCTGAGCAACATGCATAATCTCCCTAGACTATACCTCTGCCTTTTCTTAAACTGTGCATTTAAAAAGTATATAATGCTGAAATAAACTAGTCACGTTACGCTATCTTCCTCTCCTGCTGACTGTCGCACTGAAAACTTGTTATACAGTGAGCTGATAACTTGGCCTCCAAGATAACCTCAAATTCTTCGTCATCATACTGAGACTCGAGACTGGAGTTTAAAATTTTCTTAATACTGTTAAGCTGATCAGAAGATGGCTTGAGTACTATCAACAGCAGAGTCCTCAGTACCAATCACAAGACCCAATGCCACATGAGGATTCAGAATTAGACTGGCCACAGAATCCAACATATCCTTCTTTACAACCACTTGAAGTAGATGAGAAAGTAGATATCGATAAGTACAGAAGAAATCTTGACACCCTGTGGTCAGACAAAAGATATATTTAGAAATCTCACATCACAGCGAAAATGCAATTGCTAATGTGACATGTTACATACATCATAACATGTCAAACATGTAAGCTAGTTAAAATCATATGCAGCCTAATCCTTTTGCCTCATGGTCTTTGTCTTGACATTAGACAACAGGACTTTCTTTTCAAAATTACTACATAAAGCATGAAAGTGATTTAATACAGATCCTTTTATTGTAAAATATTCCACAATCCACATGTGAACAGCATCTAAGTTCTTCAAAGCTATGACATAACCCTGAATATCTGATTACTTAAGAAGTTCTCTTACATTTTTTTTTTTCCAACTGCAACGGGATACGGGTTCATTATGCCATTATGGGCACCACCAGCAAACCTAGGAGCTTGTGAATGACCCATAGTGTTCAAATGAGATTTAACAAGACAAAGTATGTCCTTAATATAGTAAAGGTCATCCAAGAACTTGCCTATAAAGACTATAATAGATATCAACTCTGTCCTCTTACTAAAAAAGTATTTGTTCCTGTGTCGAAAACAAATAAACACCCCTTAATATCCCACAAACAATCAAAATCCACAGCCTGTGAATGATTATGAATCTAATATTCTAATATACACAGAAAAAGAATATACCCCAATTTGAGAACCAAGTCAGAGAAGTACTCAATACTGGATGTGTTGTCAGGAATGATAGATCATATCATCACTAACTGCATAGTCAAAAGGACTTTTGCAAAATTAAAATCTTCACATTTATATGAACTTCACTCTCCCCAGGAAAGAGAGGAGAACGGAAGAAGGGGAAGGAAAAAAAATCGTACCATTATATATGCTTAGAGTAAGAGAATGAATGGCTGTCTGAATGACCTTCTCCCCATGGTGTGCAAATTTAAGGGCTAAAGTATATAGAGGAAACTATGTAAAAACACCCTGCAGTTAAAACAATGAACAAATTTTTTACAAGAATCAGTATTGTCTCATCACCAATCGATAATAAATAGTTGACCACGCAAAAAGTATATAACAGGTAAATAAAGAACTAAAAGAAATCCTGGTAATAGACTAACATAAGGAGGGGCAATGTCGGTAGTCTAGTATTATTAGTTTAGTAGTTTTTACCCTAAGTATAAATAGAGAGAGGGGAGAAAGAAGAAGGTGGCTGAATTTTGGTGTAAACCCATGCAAGAGTTATGGCCTAAAGCCATTGATAAAAGAGTTGTGAGCTAAACTCACTTGGAGCTTGATAGGTTAAACCTATCTTTTCTGTAATTCGTGTCCTGTTAATTAAAGCATCAATCTTTCTTCCTGAACTTGAACCTTCTCTTCGAGGCCATTTAGTTGTGATACAGAGGTAACCATGGTCATAGACCGTATTGCTCTGACACCAGCTGTAATGGACTGATTTTCTGATTGTAAATATTATAAAATTACTAAAGATTAATAAAGGTGAAAGCTTTACATTTTGATTGATAATGGAAAAAGGATTACAAAAGATGGGTTTAGCCTATCAAGCTCCAAGTGAGTTTAGCTCACAACTCTATAATGGCTTTAGGCCACAACTCTCATGGGTTTGCACCAAGATTCTGCCTACCTCCTTCTTTCTTCCCTCTCTCTATTTATACTTAGGCTAAACACTACTAACCTAATAATACTAGACTTCCCAAAGTGCCTCTCCTAAAGTTAGTCTATTACAGTCCTCTCTCAAGCCATTAAAAGGTTTAAAAGCCACAATTATTGCTTCAACTAGACAGGAGAACATATAAGATAATGAACAAGACACCTATATGAGCATGTAGCTCAAACAGATTTTGCTAAAAAGGGAATCAAAGTTTATTTGAATGTATTTTTCATTTCAAAAAAAAAAAGAAAAAAAAAGCATAATATTCCTATAAGTAGTATTTACCTCTTGGAATTTTAGAGAAGACAGACGGTGTCTTTGTTCTGCTTCCCACTCACAGCCCTGATCCAGAATTAAAGCAAGGTTAGCCACAAAGATCCAAAGCATCAGTCTCTCTGTTATATCTGGATTCTATCAATTCCAACAACTACTCGTGCCAAGAAGCATTATTTATGAAGGTAAGATTGCCTCAACAAGGCTAGGAAATAAAAAGATTTTGACCTCATAAAACTTAGTACAAAGATATATCACTGACATGAAACTCATACACATGTGTGATGATGCTGCTGATGTGCCAACTGCTAATGCAATAGTCAGTGTTGTACCAAAGACAAACATATAACTGAATATAAAATTAAGGAGTACCAGTTTTGAGGTCAGTGTTGGAAGTAAAATGGGAATCAGAATTGGAAGATGTTAACTAAACTGCCTATAAGAGGAAAAAGACATACACGCCATGCCCACACAGCAAGAGGAGGTAATGAGAGCTAAGGGAAACCAAATGTATGTGAATCATAGATCCTTACAAAATAAATGTTCACTGTGTAGATTTAGTATCATTATGCTCAGGTATTGAAGCACCTTTGCCTCAATCCTGTTCTTGGTATCCCTACTAATCTTGAGCATGCAGATAAACTCAGCTAACACTTGATGTTCCATGAACTGGGGAAAAAAAAATTCTTGTAATTATTAGAACAAGTATCATAATGCATATTACCAAATAAACATTAAAGGAAAAAAAAAAGGACAAACTCTTACTCGAAGATGATGGGTCATGCCTATCACCATATGTAAATTTTTCTACAATAGTTTGCAATATGTCCACAACTGTTTCCTGGAAAAAATTTTATATACAATATCCGACTATTGTCTCCAAAGCCACAGTATCTGTGACATTAAATCATAGTGTTAAGTACAAAATCTAATAGTTCAACAGAGAACCGTCAAACAGAAGCAGTGCGAGACGTATACCCTATTAAATGTATGAACGACTTCAATTCCCTGCAATTCATTGATGATATAACTGAGAAGAAAGGTTCAAAAAAAGACAATTAGATTTACTGTAATCAAGAATTCAAGAGAAAGACAGATGCATTTCTCTAGAAAATACTCATGAAGTCATTACAGCACTTTTGAATAAAAAAGATTTAGCTTTATATGCTGTACATCATAATGTCACATCAGATTTTCAAAATTTCCCCGTATTTGATAAATAGTATATTTATACAATCTATTCTCAAGGTCGAAAAAACAACAAATGCGAAAAACCTGTTGAAAGAAGCCAGGACAAAGACTCTAGCTATTTGCAGAACGGGCAACATTACTGTTACATTTTTTTTATTTAACATCTCAAACTTCATGTAACTGCCTGAAAGGTTGAAATAAGTGACTGTACATTGGTAAGTTCTTACCTAGAGTCAACCTTCCAACTTAATCAACAAACCTCTATTTACCACTCACCAAACAATCAACCACAATTTCATGAATCATTTTGGAATGTTTATCGCCTCTCCACAAATATTTTAAAACAGATACAAATAAGGAAAGATTACACTAATACAAGGAAAAAAAAATACGAGGTAACAAAAGCATGCCAAGCTCAAGCAAAAAGGCGGAGAAGAAAGAGAATTCTTATCACACCCAACAAAAGCATTGTGAGTGTGGAGATAAGCTAAAAGCAATAACCAGTCCAAAAAAGCTTGCAAAGAGGAAAATAGACCACAGAACTCCCATTATTCCTTTCCAATCAAATCATCCACATAGATAGCTTAACAAAAAATGTTCACCTCATATCTCTCAAACCTCATAAATAAAGGATAGATGAAAAAAAAAAAAAAAAAAAAAAAACAGCAAATTTTAAAAACACTTAAAGGCTATGCTAGAGATAAGTCGACAAACTATAATCCATTAGATATATTTACAATGCCTAGCTTGGCCTTGAAACCAAAAGAACTCGAAAGTACTAGATTTCTCACAGCTCACAAAAAGCCTTCTCTAGACTTCAAGAAAGTTCATAAACCTCTCTAACCACCTGCTTACATCAATCGGGGAGTTTAAAATGGTAAAAACTAGAAAAAGTACATTAAACATTTGCACTCATCTAACTTCACGGGAACCTTCTACTAAAACGGAACTCAAGATCAAAATTATAAACATATGAGGGTTATACCCTAATGAAAGATCAAATCTTGACAAAGTCCATAAACAAGAAGAAAAATCAAACCAATGATCGCAATATAAATAGCAAGCTCATATACCTTCTTGTAATTACTTTATATTTTTAAGACTAAATAAGCAAAGAAAATCACCCATGACCTTAAATCCATAAGCCACCAAAGAAAAGCCAATTGACTTATGTCACAGACAAATCAGGCTTTCCTATTGCTTATAAAGAGAACTTCCTATCACTTAGGCTCCTGTGTGTGGGAGTAAAGTGGCAACATGTTCAGCCTTCACTGTCATGGGGATGAGTAAAAAGTAACTTCATTTTAATTGAACCAGACTCTTACAGGTAGTCAAATAGGTGACAAAATGGTGCAGAATGGATGATTAATTACTAATGTTTTGACATATTTGCTAATCCAAATTGGGCTCCACATGAATTCCTCTGAAAATATATCTGGGAAACTCTAAACAAAAATAAGTTTATTCTTGTATTAATAAATTAGAATCGTAATAAATTCTCTTGTGCTATAAAAACAAATTACATGTTGAAGAGATTCATAGTTGAAATTAAACCTTGAAAGATAACAATAAAACATAAGAAAATAGAGGGTCATTTTATTTCTGTTTTTTTCTCTAAATAAAATACTGCATTTGAAATTTTGTGATCACACTATGTCAACTTTAAGCATTAGCATCTATAATCATACTGGCAAAAACTGTATGACTATGACCTTATGCAAAATTATTGAAAAAAAAAAATTGATAAACCTAGAAATGTAATCTACACATCAATTTTGTGACGTATATAGGCTCAAGAATAGTACATTCTTGTTGCATCATGACTACAGTAAGTTGTCAAGTGTGGTAAAGTTGCATATACAACATTTCATGATGCTCAAGGCTGCCCCATAATGAATTGACATATCAGAAAAATCAGTTTCATGTCTTCACCATTGAAAATCAAGTGTTTTAAAAACAGTCTCTTCAATGTCTCTTATAAACTTTCCAGTTAAAACACACCTCATATTGATAAGAGAACCTAAAAGTTTGACTTGAATTATAAATAAATCAAAAGGTTTATCAGTGTAAGTCTCAAAAATATCAATACATATAATAATGCATTTAATCATTTATGGTAAAGGAAAATTCATTAGCACACAATGGCCTTGATAGGTGTTGTTCTGAAGTTGCAAAAAGGCATTTTATAATGGTTTTTCACAAAAAGGCACCAAAGCATGCAGATGATGGAGCAGCCTCGCAAAATCAGGCAAATCAGACCAACAATGCTTCAATGACTTAAAAAGTTAAAAGACATCTCTGAAGCCTTGGCTCAAGAATCTTCTTCTTTTAAGCAAAACCTATCCCAATTCAATACATCTATTTCGCTCCATTCAACATGACCGTCTTAATAAAACTACATATATACAGAATTTATGCCTCTCCTAGACCCAATAGACATATATTCGGGAGAATCCTAATTATTCATTCCATCAAACAATTTAATCATTTGCATTAATAGCATCCAACCTTAGCACAATGCCACAACTCTCCCACCTTTGGAGTAATTACAACAACCTCGAAAGAAACTCTCTACTTTCCAATGTTATTCCATTGTACTAGTAACTTCAATTATTATAGTGCTTGCATTTTACGTAGTTAATACTCTCTTATTTGTCAATACTCAAGTTCCGACATTGCATTGTTACCGGAAATCAAAATTTATTTGAATATATTTTTCATTTCAAAAATAAAATAAATATGAGCACAATATTTCTATAAGTAGTACCTCTTGGACTTTTAGAAGAAGACAGATGGTGTCTTTGCTCAGCTTCCCACTGACAGCCCTGATTCGGATTTAAAGCAAGGACAGCCACAAAGATCATAAGCATATCAGTCTCCCCTTATAGCTGGGATTCTATCAATTTCAACAGCTACTTGTGCTGAAAAGCATTATTAAGGCAAGTGAGATTGCCTCAACAAGGCTAAGAAATAAAAGATTTTGACCTCATAAATGACAGACAGTACAAAGCTATATCACTGATATGGAACCCATACTCATGTGTGATAAGGTTGTTGATGTGCCCATTGATAATACAATAGTCAGTGTCATACCAAAGACAAACATATAATTGATAAAAAAAAAAAAAAAAAAAAATCCCAAGAGTACCAGTAATGAGGTCAGTGTTAAAAGTAAAAAGGGAATTGGAATTGGAAGATGTTAACTAACCTGCCTCTAATAGAAGAAAAATGGGGAAAAAGACACACATGCCATGCCCACACAGTAAGGAGAAGTAATGAGACCTAAGAGAAGCCAAATGCATGTGAATAATAGAGGATCCTTACAAATTGCATGTTCACTGTGTAAATTTTGTATCATTATGCTCAGGTACTGAAGCACCTTTGCCTCAATCCTGTTCTTGGTATTAATACTAACCTTGAGCACGTGGTCAAACTCAGCTAACACTTGATGTTCCGTGAAACATCTGGGAAAGTTTTTTCAAGTGGCAGGACTTTGAAATAATTAAAACAAGTATCATAATGCATATTACCACACACACACACACACAAAAAAAAAAAAAAAAAAAAAAAAAAAAAAAAAAAAAAAAGAAGACAAACTCTTACTTAAAGATTGATGAGTCATGCCTATCACCATATGTAACAATTTCTACGATAGTTAATAAAATGTCCACAACTGCTTCTTGGAAAATTTGTATATAATATCACACTATTGTCTCCAAAGCCACAGTATTTGTGACATTAAATCATAGTATTAGGTACAAAATCCAATTGTTCAGCAGAGAAACGTCAAACAGAATGTAATAGACTGAGATTATTGCTAACTTGCTCAACAGGAAATAGAGAGAAAATAATCTGATTTTTGATAATTGATTTAATAAGAAGATATAATAAAGATGGAAGCTTGAATATTGATTGAAAATGGCAAAAGGTTTACAAAATGATAGGTTTAATAGCTTTAGGCTATTGCTCTCAATATAGCAATAGCTTGAGGCTATAACTCTCTAACAATGGCTTGAGGCCATAACTCTCTAAGGATTCCCAAAACAAATTTCTTCCTACTACTTCCTTTCCCCCCTCTCTCTATCTATACTAAAACTTAAGACTACTAACCTAATAATACTAGACTACCCATATTACCCCTCCTTAGGTTAGTTTATTACACAGAAGCAACGTGCAATGTATATACCCTGTCAAATATATCAATGACTTCAATTCCCTTCAATTCATTGATGATATAACAGAGATCCAAGGTTCAGTAAAGACAATTAGAATTACTGTAGATGACTAATCAAGAATTCAAGAGAGAGCTGGATGTAATGATGCATTTCTCCAGAAAATACTCATGAAGTCATTACAGCACTTTAAAATACAAAAAACTTGGCTTTATATGCTGCACGCCTGTACATCATAATGCACATCAGATATTCTAGACAATTGCCCCGTATTTGATACCACAACAACAACAACAACAACAACAACAAAGACTTAATACCAATATGATTGGGGTCGGCTGACATGAATCGTCAAAAAAAATCTTACAATATAAAGAAACGGACCTAGCAAAACCATCATTTTAAAGAGTTTGAAAAAGGTAAGTAAAGTGAGTAAACAAAAGAGCATTAAAAAAATTGAGGGAGTTGTAAAAGAAAATCAAGAATAAAATTCAAAAAAGTTTTAAACGAGTGGTTAAAACGTTCAAGTTGAAAACATAAGGTTTGAGAAAACTTTAGCAAAAGAATACAATACAGTTCATAAAATATTGGTGAGCTAAAAATAAAATTTAAAATGAAAATAAAATTTAAAAGTATATATAATCAATTCACGCTGTTGACGTGAATTTTCTCCCTCCACACAACCCTATCCAATACCATATTCTCTTCAATCCCCATAGAACTCATGTCACTCTCAATCACCCTCTTCACAGTTTTCGTAGGTCTTCCCCTACCTCTCGTGATCCCAAAACTTTGCAATTCTTCAAGCCTCCTTACCGGTGCATCACTTAGTCTCCTTACATGGCCAAACCATCTTAAGAGATTCTCCCTTATCTTGTACTCAATCGATTGCCCCGTATTTGTTAAATTGTAGAAAATAAGTATAGTAATACAATCTATAGAGAACAACAAATGTGAAAAAACTGTTGAAAGATGCCAAGACAAAAAATCTAGCTATTTGCAGAACGAGCAGCATTACTGTTTCTTTTTTTTTTTTCATATCATCTCAAACTCCACATAGCTGCCTGAAAGGTTGAAATTAGTGACTGTGCATAGGTAAGCTTCTTACCCAGAGTCCACCTTCCAGCTTAATCAGCAAACCTCTATTCACTCACCAAACAATCAACCATCATTTCATGAATCATTTTGGAAAATTTATTGCCTCTCTAGTCTCTACAGAAAATTTTAAAACAGACCCAAGAAAAGATTACACTAACACAAGTAAAAAAAAAGTAAGAGGTAAACAAAGTATGCCAAGCTCAAGCAAAAAGACAGAAAAAGAGAGAAAATTCTGATCACACCCAACAAAAGCCTTGTGAGTGTGGAGAGAAACTTAGAATCAATAACCAGTACAATAAGGCTCCCAATTCCCAAAGAAGAAAATGGACAATAGAACATCAGAACTCCTATTATCCCTCTCCATTCAAATCATCCCTATAGATATCTTGACAAAGAGTGTTCTACTCATATCTCTTAAACCCCATATATACAGGACAACCCCTTAGGGGATGAAAAATTATATATATATATATATATACTTCCTCCATTTTCTTTTAGATGCAACACACCCTTTAGCACGGTAATTAAGAAAGGTGGGGTTTACATGATATAATAAACTTTAAAATAGGATGAGTGGTTGTTAGGAGTGTAATTTAGTGGGCCATGTGCTTTAAATAAGGGAAATAGTATAGTTTTTTCCTAAAGTAACTTTCCTTTTATAGTGTGTTGCAAGTATTGTGACACTTCCTTTTTAGGAAAGTGTTGCAAGTAAAAGAAAAAGGAGGAAGTGTATGTATATATATATATATATATATATATATATATGAAACCCAGCAAATCCTAACAGTAGTCAGTCCATTAGATATATTTACAATGCCCAGCTTGGCCTTGAAACCAAAAGAACAGTACTAGATTTCTCCAAATTACCCAGCTACATATATATCGTCACCCCCTATGAAACTAAGCATTCGAAATAATAAGATATAGAATATACAGAAAAGTTGCATGTTATACATATTTTTAGTAGTGGCTTTAACTAAAATAAACAAATCTAGTGAACTAGCAATTAGCCAACAAACTTTTCTGCCTTAAGAAGTCCACAAGAAAATAGTCATAAGGCTTCTCAACAAGTTAGTAATAAACTCCCACTTGTGAAAATTCCACCCAACATGGAAGTTTACAGAACTTACTCCACTGAGCATCACTGATATACATGAGGAAAAAGGATAATAAAAAAAAATAAAAAATAAAACTGTTCTCTCGGCAAATAGTCCAACCAAAAAAAAAATGAGTTCCTTCATGCCAATCCTACCCATTTCTTTAAAAAATATAGCTTCTCCTAAATAGTTTTTGCCAGAGAGAAGGCTTGTCAAAGAAGATACAAATCCCGCTAAGGAGATGTTCCAAACCCAAACTTCCTTCTTCCTTAGACTTACAAAAAGCATTTCCAACTCACAAAATGTATTCCCTGAGATACAAGAAAGTTCATAAACTTCTGTAACCTCCTGCTTACATCAATCGGGGGTTTAAATGATAGAAACTATAAATAGTAAATTAAAACATTTGCACTCACTCATCTAACTTCACAGGAACTTTCTACTAAAATGGATCTCAAATCAAAACTATAAATCTATGAGGATTATTCCCTTAAGAAAGACCAAATCTTGACATAGTACATAAATAAGAAAAAAAATCAAACCAATGAATTGCAATATATAGGCAAGCTCGTATACCTTCTTGTAATCACTTTATGTTTTTTAAACCAAAACAGCAAAAAAAAATCACCCATGACCTTCAATCCATAAGCCAACAAAGAAAGTCAATTGACATATGGCATAGACAAACCAAGCTTTTCTATCATTTATGAAGAGATCTTCCTATCACTTACAATCCTGTAATGATAAGTACATAGTCCAAAATACCCTTGTAGGAGTAAAATGACAACCTGTTCAGCCTTACTGCCATGGGGATTAGTCAAAAGTATCTTAAAGAATGGATGATTAATTACTACTGTTTTGACATTTTTGCTAATCCAAATTGGACTTTGTCCATGAATTTCTATGAAAATATATATAAAAAACAGTCTCTTCAATGTCACTTATAAACTTTCCAGTTACATCATACCTCATATCATTCATGAAAACATAAGATAATCTAAAAGTTTGGCTTGACTTATAAATAAATCAAAAGGGTTATCATTGAGAATCTCAAATATAACAATACATATAATAATGCCTTTAATGATATATTGTAATGGTAAATTCATAAGCACACAATGGCCTTGATAGGTGTTGTACTGCAGTTTCAAAAAGGCATTTTATAATGGCTTTTCACAAAGTAGCACCAAAGCCTGCAGATGATGGAGAAGCCTCGCAAAATGAGGCAAATCAGACCAACAATGCTTCAATGACTTAAAAGACCTCCTGAAGCCTCAGCTCAAGAATCTTCTTCTTTTTAGCAAGAATTATCCCAATTCAACACCTTCACTTCTCTTCCTTTAACATGACTGTCTTAATAAAACTACAGATATACAGAATTTATGCCTCTCTTAGACCCCATTAGGCATCTATTCACTAAAATCTTAAGCATTCATTCCATCAAACAATATCACTCATTTGCATTAATAGCATCTAACCTTAGCACAATGCCACAACTCTCCCACCTTTGGAGTAATTACAACAACCACCACGAATTAATCAACCACCTCGAACTACAACAACCACCTCGAAAGTCGGAAGCAACTCTCTACTTTCAAATGTTATTCCATTATACTAGGAACTCCAATTATTACAGTCCTTGCATTATAAGTATCGAGTTCCAACATTGCATTGTAATTAAAATGAATCAGTATGCAAACCAACTAAACTAATACCAGTAGTAGTTTATATATAATTAAAGCATACCATAATTTAAGAACACTTTAAACTAATCTCACATTTTACAAATTTCAACCTTCATTGCAAATTAATCACCCAAAAACCCTAATTTTTATTTCTTTTCTGCTCAAGTAAGCTAAACTAATTCATCACAGTAATCTATTGAGTTAATAATATGAACCCTAAACCTAATCAATCAACAAAACTTCGGTAATCAGGATAATTCACCTCCAAAATGATAATTGATTTCAATTAAGCAAACAAAAAGAAATTGAAAATTGGAGAAAGAAAGTTACCGGAAATATAGGAGAGAGAAGCGAACAATGGGCCGCCAAAATGATCGCAACATGATCGAGGACGATACATTGAGATTGAGTAACTGTGCAGATGAAAGAGCCGTTTGATTAGGAATACATGTAATGATGCAATTGCAATTTCTGGTGCGAAAATAACAGAAATTGGTAACTGTCAACTTTTTTTTTTTTTTTCATTTTTCTTTTGGTTTTTTATTGGAGCCCTGGTTGAAACATTTGAATTTGAATTTCATAATCCAAGGAAGAAAATAAATTAATTAAATTTTTAAAAAAATACTACATTGATAAACTTTTATTTTTTTTTAAACAAATTCCATTGATAATTTGAATAATGGTAAAAAAAATATGGATTGGACCGTACAAGCTCATGTGTTGTGTCAGCGAAACTTATGCTCAAAGCTCAAATGGAACATGGCTAAACAAGAAAATAAAGATTCATATTATGACGACCTTAATGAACTAGTGATCTATGTAAACAACTCATGCACAACTTGTCCACATGTGCTACTAGGGCTCTGTTCTTTTGAGCTTCTAGGCAGAGCAGAGCAGAGCAAAGCAGATTTCAGCAGAGCAGAGCAGATTGAAGTAGAGCAGGGCAGAGCAGAGCAGGGCAGGGCAGGGCAGAGTAGAGCAGATTGAAGCAACTATTTTTAAGTACTATTTTTAAGCAGAGCAGGGTAGAGGAGAGCAGGGCAGAGCAGAGCAGAGCAGATTGAAGCAGAGCAGAGCAGATTTCAGCAGAGCAGAGCAAAGCAGATTTTAGCAGAACAAAGCAGCTCTAAAGAACGGGGTCTAGGTCCCTTTTGTCGGTCCATATCTCATTTCACATTGAGCTTATGGCAAGTTTGTGTCTATATCAGTCATCTTCAAGTTCTGTCAATTCAATTCATGCCCAATTCTTACAATAAATAATGAATTTATGCAACATATTATAACCAATGATGCTTGATGTAGTGATGGAATTCCTACCTTTAAGACCGAGATATTACGAATTTGGATTCTTAAGGGTCTGAATTGAGTTTGAAATTAGCAAAAATATAACGTAAGTGTCTTGTTTATTCTTTTTTAATATAGTTAGAAATATGAATGGTACACGTCAATTAAAAATTAATTATGTCCAGAATTGAACTTAGGTTCATTAGGAAATGAATAAGAGGTCATACTGTTGTGGGTAAAAATACCCCGTATACGTGGGCCAATCCCATAGTGACATGTGGCCCAGTTATAGGGTGACACGTGTCACCACGGGAAGATGCCACCTAATTCAGAGCCCTTAAGGTCGTGGACCAATCCCATAGTGACACGTGGCCCAGTTATAGGGTGACACGTGTCACTACGGGTAGATGCCATGTGTTAAAGGCATCTGTTCCCTTAATAATCAACATACCAGAAAACCCTAACAACGTCAGGGCCCAAATCCCGAGAGATATCAATGAAAGCCGCAAAACGGCGCCCCCAGAGTAGCACGTGGCACTCACTGATTGCACAGCCAATCACGTCACGCAAATCTAGGGTATAAACCTTAGAAAGGGGCACGAGTCCCACCCTTATAAATACCCCAATCATTTATGATGAGAGGGGGGATTCAGACAATTTAAAAACAACAGAGCATTAAATAGCTCCAACTTCTCTCTACTTTCTCTCTCTAGCCTTTTCCGTTCTGATCACTGACTTGATCGTCGGAGGCGAATATTCTGTTGATCGGAATATTCGTTATTTTACAGGTTGGACCGACTCATTGCCAGAAGAGCGTGACCAGTATCCCAAGAAATCCAAAAAATACCCGAAACATTTGGCGTTTTCTGTGGGGATACTCGTACGTTATGGCGATAGACGGTTAGACACCTAATCCAGGCGAGGATGGACATGTAGAGGACTTAATCCCTACGATCCGTACTAGCGATCCTCTGACAGCCACATTTGAAGAAGCTGATGACCCTCCTGTTACCGCAGCCTCTCTTAAGGTCGCGCTTAACAAACTCAGGAAAGAAATTAAAATTGGAGCCTTTACCTCTAGGCAGCTGCCCGGGAGAGAGGAACAGAGGGCTCCAAAGAAGACGCACAGCAAAGTAGTCCATGCAACAGACGCTGGAAACACTCCATTTCGAAGGCCGACTGGAAGGTCCCCGAGAGTAACGCGGACTAATTTCTCTGACTTGCTGGCGAAAACGCAGTCGACTGGGGGGAGGGATAGGCAGCCTCGAAGAGAGGAGCCTGAGCCGTCCAGACGATGGAAGGACGCAAGAGATTACCTTTGGCATAAGCAGCGGGAACGTGTCGCCTACTCGGACACGGCTTCAACCCCAACTATGCCGGATGATTTTTCACATCATTCTCTTTCCCAACATACCAACACGGCCATCTCCAGTGGAAGTCAGACAGTCCGCACCCCGACTCCTATTCCAGTCTTTCATGCCTCAACTCCTATTCCAGCACAATCATTGCAATATCAGCCTCCTCAGGGGTTCAATGGCTTGATGCAGCCGAACCCCCAGGTGTACGGACAGTATAGGCCATATGGGCAGGTGTACGGGCAGGCTCCCTATCTGGCTGGACCGTCCATGCAACCGCAACCCATCGATTGGCAGATGCGCGTACTTACTCTAGTAGATAAGCCGCCCCCGTTTTCGCAAGATATCTTAAATGCCCCTCAGCCACCAAAGGTGAAGAGTGTACTTGTGGGAGCTTATGATGGCACGGGCAACCCAGAAGAGCACATCACCTCGTACAGGAACCTGATGTACTTGCAAAGCGTAGGTGATGCTACTTGGTGAAAATGTTTCCCGGCCACTCTGAAAGGTGTGGCACAGGATTGGTTCAACAGTTTGCCGGCCGGTTGTATCAATTGTTTCACTACTCTTAGTTTGCTGTTCGTGGGAAATTTTTCATACAACATACCGCCTCGAAAGACTAGCCTTAACTTGGCGACAATCGTCCAAGAAAAATGAGGGCTTACGCTCGTACGTCTAGTGATTTAACCAAGAAAAAGCCCAAATTCATAATCTGCAAGACGAAATGGCTTACTCTGAATTTCTCTGGGGATTAAGGCACAATGGTTTTAAATTACCACAAGGATGTGGGACATGACATGAACGATTGCATTAACTTAAAGAGACTGCTGGACAAACTAGCCGAGAAGGGCATGCTGAATTCATATGTGATGAAGTCCAAATTCACTTACACACGGACAACCAACACGTCCGAGAAAAGACAGAAGAATGATAAGAACAAAGATAAAGAAGATGATGGCAACAAAACTGATTCAGGCTTTGTGGCCGTGATATCAGGAGGATTTGCCTCAGGCGGTCCCACTATGAAAGGGATCTAGCAGGACGCCCGGAACCTGGGAAAGGTGATGCAGATGGATTCAGTGAAGGCTGAACCCTTCCCCGAAGTAATCATCAGTGAGGCCGATCGGGGGGAGGTCAAAGCCTTGCACAATGATCCCATGGTATTCATTATGAAGATAGCCAATTTGAAGGTCGGACGAATATTGATAGACACGGGTAGCGCGACTGATATCATCAGCCTGGCCGCCTTGAAGAATCTAAGCTTCCCAGAGGATGCTCTCCAGGACATCACTCACCCGCTGGTCAGATTTCGGGGGAATGTCATCCACCCAGTGGGGCGGATAGACTTACCTGTCCGATTCGGGCAAAAGGGGGAAGGAAGAGATATGGTTGTCCGCTTCTTGGTAGTGAAAGAACTGACTGGATATAATGTCATACTCGGTCGTCCTACACTGAATGCAGCAAAAGCAGTCATTGTGCCTCACCTAATGCTGCTAAAGTTTGAAAGGACAGACGGGAAAATAGGTACAATCCAAGGAAGTCAGAAGATGGCTAAGGAATGCAATCACTTGGCTGTTAAGCCTACAGCGCGCGGACCAAAATCGTCCGAGCCAAAAGAAGAAGGAACCTCACTCCCAACACACCAGGTCGGTCAGAAGCGTAAGGCGACCAAGATAGAGCAAGCATAGCAGCTAATGACTGTCGGACGGCCAGAAGAGCTAAGCCCCAGCCGGCCGGCAGTCACCAGGATATAGTGCTTGACCCCGATCAACCAAGTCGGACGGTCAGTGTGGGCACTATAGCTTTGGGTGTGCTTAGGGATGAGTTAATTCAATTATTAAGAGAGTTAAAGGATGTATTTGCATTTGATGTCGGCGAGATGCCAGATATAAGTCCAGATCTGGCCGTGCACAAATTGGTTGTAAATCAGGCCGTTAAACCTGTCCGCCAGAAGAAAAGGAATCATGGAGAAGAGAGGAATCAGGTGGCCGCAGCAGAATTCAAGAAGCTTCTGGACGCAGGTTTCATTCGGCAATGCTATTACCCAGAATGGGTGGCCAATGTGGTCCTTGTCAAGAATCCGAATGGAACTTGGAGAATGTGCATAGATTACACCGATCTAAACAAGGCATGCCCTAAGGATAGCTTTCCCCTGCCCAAAATCGACCGTCTGGTTGATTCGACGGCCGGGCATGCCCTGATGAGCTTTATGGATGCATACTCCGGATTCCATCAAATTCCGTTATGGGAAGAAGACCAGGAGAAAACAGCGTTCGTGACTGAGCAGGGGTTGTATTGTTACAAAGTTATGCCATTCGGCCTTAAGAATGCCCCAGCTACCTTTCAGCGACTTGTTAACACAGTCTTTAGAGATCAGCTCGGCCGGAATATGGAGGCGTACATTGATGACATGATTTTCAAGTCAAAAGAGTCGGCCGACCATTTGAAGGATCTACGAGAAACTTTCACCGAACTCAGGCGGCATAAGATGATGTTAAATCCAAAGAAATGTGTCTTTGGTGTTGAGTCCGGTAAATTTCTCGGATTTTTAATTGATCAACGTGGAATCGAGGCCAACCCTGAAAAAATCCAAGCTGTCATGGACATGAAGTCACCAAGGACAATTAAAGAAGTCCAAAGATTGACCGGCTGTTTGGCCGCACTTCTGTCAAGATCAGGGGATAAGTGCCGCTATTTCTTTCAAACCATAAAAAAGAAAGTCATGTTTGAGTGGATAGAGGAGGCCGAGGAAGCATTCGTACAGCTAAAAGGCCATTTACATACATTGCCTCGGTTTGTCAGTCCACTTAAGAGCGAGAAGCTATTTATCTATCTTGCTATCTCAGAACACTCCTTAAGTGCCGTCCTACTTTCTGAACGGGACGACCGCCAGATCCCTGTCTACTTTATTAGCCACGTTCTACATAACGTTGAGCTAAGGTATCCCCCATTGAAAAATTTGGCTTAGCATTGTACATGGCATCAAAAAAGCTGCAGTCATACTTCTTGGCACATTCAATTGTGGTCTACACAGACCAACCTTTGAAGAAGCCATTTACAACGCTAGAGGCAAGCGGTCGTATGCTTAAATGGGCCTTGGAAATGAGAGGCTTGGATATTACATTTGAGCCAAGAAAAGCAATAACGGGGCAAGCCTTTGCTGATTTTTTAGCTGAAATGACTCGGCCGGATCTTCAGAC